TTCACTTTTAGAATAAGATAATTATAAGGTTTCTGAATCTCTAAAACAATTAAATAAAAAAGAAAATAAGAATTAATTGATGTATTATAATGCTTTAGCTTGGAGATTGTATAATTATTTATTTGTAATGTAATAGATTTCTACTAATCTATTTTAAATTAATAAAAATGCAATAATCGAAAGTAAGTCTGAATAAATTTTAAATGTTTTTCAAAAGATGTTAAATATAGGATCCTAGAATTTTGGAGGATTACCTACTGTTGGGAACGCTTTTAACACAATAATGCTGCTCTCGATTTTGGATTTGAATATCATAAAGAGCATAAATTTACTACAAGATTAAGAAAACTAAGTAATATTTTACAATGTAGTTCTATAGTTCCAGGCCAATTATAAATAGAGATATAAATTGCAAGCTTAGAATTAAATAGAAATTAATAAGCTAATTTGATTAATGAACCAAAATCAAGATTTAGGAAGTTTGCAGATTAATTGTTGCAAGATGAAGATAAATAATTCAGAGATATTATATATTGGGCAGCAGGTACTGAAGATGCATTGATTATTTTAAATTATTTGGAAGCAATAGTGATATGATAATAAATGAAATATTAAACAAAAAAGTTGTTTTGAGGTAGATAATCATCTAAGCAATCAAAGAATAACATGAGTTATCTGTAAATAAATAGATATAAAGGTCTTTTATACTACCTATTTTCTTTCCTTTCCATAGTTGCCAATCTTGATCAGAACAGTCAAAGAAAATTATTTACCTGAACTTAAGTATGTGTGTTTTCCTTGCGATAATTTTGATGATTTAATTTTTATTGTTATTAAGATACAATTTTAGAATAAACCTTTCAGAAGTACAATGCCAATATGCCTATTTTGAATTTGATTATGAATGCTATAAATAGTGATAAATTGATAATTTATTAAATTAAATCCTAAATATTTTAATAAAAAGCCATATTAAGATGACGAATTTCATATGAATTAACACTTTTAAAAATAATCACTCCTTTTTTGAATATTTTGTAAAAATTCAAATATATATTTTTAATGCAAAAAATTATTCATATTAATTGAAATTCTTTGAGTAATATCTATATAATGTGAAATACTTAAGAATAAATAATTTATTATTAATATAATTACATGTTGTATATTAAC